AGAAGAATTTGCATGTGGGCCTGACCCACTCTTATTTTTACAGGTGTTTGTTAGTTCCAGACTTGGAGCTGGATCGTGCTGAGCAGATACAGTTATTCACTCCACCGATGACCAGGGTTTTATTTCATATTTTAGACTTGGGTTTCATTTCCAATCTTTTGAGTTCAGTGAGATATTTTAGGGGTCCACTAGATGGATTCCCGAGTTGTAATAGAAATGGAGAAGTAGGATGTATCAGAATCATTCTTTGTTAATTAAATTTTATTCTGAAGTTTTTGGATTATTATTCTCGTTTTCTTTTCAGCAATTTATTTATTCTTGTTTTTCTTATTTGTATTCTGTGTTCGATTATTACTAATTGGTTTGATATCCTGTGGTAATCGAGCGTGGGCCTGGCCAACCCGCATCCGGAAATCCGGGGGTATCACAAATGACCTTGGAAAAATAGGCTTGTGGGAGCCTCCATAGATGAGACCACTAACCCTAATTTTCTAGAGAGAAAAAATATATTCCTTTTTCTTTCTTCCAAAAAAAATCACCCCTAAAATATACATAGACTATGTATATATATAGACAACATAAATATGAAGAAAAGAAAACAATAAATTTTTCTCAATCTCTAATTCATATGTCTCAAATCTAATAGGATTCCAATATCAAGTTGGGCTATGAATGAAAATCATTTAGGCTTATTATTTTATTGGCTACAATGAATTAATAATTGGCCCCGTCCATGGACTTAATTCAATTAATTCATAAATTAATTTCTACCCCACTAAAAGAAATTGATTGAACTCCAATTAAATAATAAATAACCTCTAAGTCAATGTTGCACTTTGACCTCTCTATGCATAATTAGTTATCGGATAAATAAACCCATCAATTCGTAGTTATCGGATAAATAAAGCCATCAATCCGACTACTTAATTAATATATTTATTTTGGTACCTTTGATTATTTCTGGCTCGATCACAATAAAACATTTGTTTGACAAAAATAATATATTAAATAAATAAATATATAATAAATCATTTTGACTAAAAACAAATGAAGACCTTCGAATTTACTTTGTGATCAACCATAATCAATACAAAATAAATACAAGTAGCAATGATGTAAATATTGAAAATATAATCCTCTAATTATTAATTACATAACTACCCAAAGTGTCGGTTTAAGGATCCCGAAGTATCCGCCGAACAAATCAAAGTAATTATTAATTAATAAAAGAGTTTATACTTTTCTCATACTTAAGAGTCAAATGTCATGACGGTGATAAGGAGCAATTGCATACGACGGCTCTCGTAATATATCTCAACCTAACGCGGATCCAGTTCAAATCTTAATTAATTATGAGTCCATCCATAATTACCGACTATGAACAATTTATGATTACTATTTATATTCATGTATTAATCGTCATCACATATATATATAAATATCTCTTGTAATCAAGTGGACACTATCAATTCTATAATAAATCGAAACATAATATATTGAATTCACCAATTGTATAAAGCATAAATATTTCAGAAACATCAGGAACATATGTTACTATAATCCAAATAAGAATTTGCTATGACAAGGCATATAAATCCCAACACATATCACCTGCCTTCAAAAAATGTATTATTCAATGTCTCAATTTTATCCAGCACTTTAGATGCGTGATTGCTTGTGATTGCCAATTGGTTTGGACTCTTTCCCATGTAAGATAGATACCACGGGACTCTTTAACAAATTCAACAATCAACGTCTCCCAAAGGGGAGGAAAGCTGGTACCTCTAGAGCCTACTGGTATAATTGATAAAAGAGAATCCTTAGATCAAATCCACCTTCGTCCACACCATCACAATAGTCCTCCTTTTCTATTGAATGGTCAAATAATTAATTCTTCATTTTAAAAATCTAAATAAATATGCTTTGTTTTTTTTAGTAAATGGAAAATTTTTACACCGTCGTATAGTGATTTTAGACTTAAAAGTGCAGAATCCGTTGATAGCATTTGAAACTCCTAAATAAGTGTTGCGAGTCCTGCATGCTACAGTTATGTTTTGACATTGCGTTATTTCTTGGATTTAATTTGTGTGTGTATTCAGCTCAATAGACTTTTAATAAGCCTAATTATCTTTTTACAAAACCATGGTAGTCTGGTATAAAGCTAAGAACAGGTCATTTATAGTATAAACTTTATGACTATTGATATTATGGCACCCATCTTAAAAAAATCTGTCATTCAGAGTATAAGATACCTATAATTTCGTACTGCTTTTTGAAGCCTTCCACAAGACATTCTAGAAAAATTCTAAGCTAAATTTGAAATTAGTTCAACACCAACTTCAGAATTACTAGATAAAATAAGGGTAAATTATCTTGACCTCTACTAAAGTTTGGGCAAATTATACACGGGTAGACCATTGAGTGTTTATTATTTTGACCTCCCTCGAAACTGGTTTGCCAACAGCTGGAAAGCGACTTTCGAGTCTGAAAAGTTTGTAATGCCTTTATATTATAATAATATATTATTTTGCATTTTATATAAGGGAAGGGCAAAACTGGCCTTTTATAAAATTTGGTCAACAAGTTTGCCGGAAAGAAAATGCTAAGGGTTGTTGAGCACACGCGCCAAATCTCATGCAATGTCAAAGTAATAAAAGCTGAACGTTCTACTCGTGTGCAATTTGTCAAAGTCTCCAAGGATGTCATTGTAATTTACCCATAAAATAACAGACCAAGACAAAAATGATGAATGCTGCTTGATCATAATTCATTAGTTTATGCCCACGGTGGGCTAGCAGTGATGGTGGGGCTTGGGCCTGACACACACAAGGCTAGTGTTCGAGTCCTCTACCAAGTTTTCTAATTTCGTCGACTAACCTGGTGTTGTAATTATGGGACCGACTGCAGTATCCCCAGTTTGGTGCCCTGGGGATGGGTCCGAAGGGCCCTGCCTTAGGGAGTCTGGGTTATCAAAAAAAAAAAAAAAAAATTCATTATTTTATACCTTTATAATTAGTCAATAAATATTTATGATTCCATTATAAACTCAGTCTCTTCTCCATTCATTTGATCAATTGAAATGGGGACCTTTGCTTTTTCTTCATCCTCTCTCTCTCTCTTACCTCTTCCATTTTGTTCATAAAATTCTGCATAGCATCTGACACAATAACTTCTAACCAAACCTTCAGTGACGGAGAAATTTTAGTTTCCTAAGGTCAAAGATTTGAGCTGGGCTTCTTCTCTCTTGGCAATAGCAAGAACAGATATTTGGGAATATGGTACAAGAACGCTCCACGTTTAGCTGTGTGGGTCGCCAACATAAATAACTCAATTGCAGATTCAAGCGGTGTTTTAACCATCACAAACAATGGAACACCTGTTCTTCACAACTGAATGAAGAGCCTAATCTGGTCATCCAATATATCAAGAGTAGCTAAAAGTCCCTTTCTTCAGCTATTAGACACTGGAAATCTTGTTATCACTGACAATAGTACTGTTGGGAAACGTGCAAGTTTTTAAAAACTTTTCGAGGGATTTTGATTCATAGATCTTGATTCATCACATAGAGACAAGTTTTATGCAAAAATAAAAATATGATGTATCATTCAATTAATGGATTGAATACTTACATCAAAGGTCTGAGTAAACCTTTAAAACTTTCCTCTAAAGTGAATGTTCTCACTTATTGTAGATCCCTTAGCAAGATGCCTTCTCCTTGGATCTCCATCTTCTTGGTAATTATTTTGCCTTTAGGAATCACTCATATGCCCCCATGAATGACCTTGGAAAACTAGGCTTGTGGGAGCCTCCATTAGATGAGAACATAAACCCTAATTTTCTAGAGAGAGAAAATTTATTCCTTTTTCCTTCTCATAAAAATCACCTCCTAAAATATACATAGACCATGTATATTTATAGGCAACATAAAAATAAAGAAAAGGAAACAACAAATCCTTCTCCATCTCTAATTCATATGTCTCAAATCTAATATGATTCCAATATCAAGTTGGGCTATGAGTGAGAATCCATTGGGCCTATTATTTTATTGGCTACAATGAATTAATAATTGGCCCGGTCCATGGACCCAATTCAATTAATTCATAAATTAATTTCTACTCCACTAAAAGAAATTAATTGAACTCCAATTAAATAATAAATAACCTCTAAGTCAATATTGCACTTTGACCCCTCTATGCATAATTAGTTATCGGATAAATATAGCCATCAATCCGACTACTTAATTAATATATTTATTTTGGTACCTTTGATTATTTCTGGCTCGATCACAATAAAACATTTGTTTGACAAAAATAATAATTTAAATAAATAAATATATAATAAATCATTTTGTCTAAAAACACACGAAGGCCTTCGAATTTACTTTGTGATCAACCATAATCAATACAAAATAAATACAAGTAGCAATGATGCAAATATTGAAAATATAACCCTCTAACTATTAATTACATAACTACCCAAAGTGTCGGTCTAAGGATCCCGAAGAATCCGCCGAACAAATCAAAGTAATTATTAATTAATAAAAGAGACTACACTTTTCTCATGCTTAAGAGTCAAATGCCATGACGGTGATAGGGAGTAATTGCATACGACGGCTCTCGCAATATATCTCAACCTAACGCGGATCCAGTTCAAGTCTTAATTAATTATGAGTCCATCCATAATTACCGACTATGAACAATTTATAATTACTATTTATATATCATGCATTGATTGCCATCACATACATATATATAAATATTTCTTGTAATTAAATGGACACTATCAATTTCATAGTGAATCGAAACATAATACATTGAATTCACCAATTATATAAATCATAAATATTTCAGATATGTCAGGAACATATGTCACTATAATCCAGATAGGAATTTGCTATGCCAGGGCATATAAATCCCAACAAGTACTAGCCCCCGTGTCCATAAAGCTATATATGGCAGAGCTTTTATTTTCCAACTGACACACGGGTACCATGTATGAAGATGGGAAAGGACTTGAATGATGATCTAGAGCGACATCAGGTGTCGTGGAGAAGTGCTGATGATCCATCTCCAGGGGATTTCTCATACAGAATTGATAATCATGGAATGCCTCGGTTATACTCAAGGGATCAGCAACAAAGACATACCGGTCTGGGGCATGGAATGGACTTCGATTCAGTAGGTTTCCTACAATCTTAAGTTCACCTTAATAGTTTGTGTTTTTAACAAGGACAACTTTTCTTATCTGTATCAGCCTGTCAATTACTCGGCTATTGCAAGGCTAACTTTGAATCACTCAGGCTTTCTTCAATATTATAGCCTGAATAAAAGAAGCAATGAATGGTCTCTCGTGTACCAATACAAGGACCAGTGTGACAGTTATGGGCAGTGTGGTGCTTATGGTATTTGCAGTATTCACAAATCGCCAATACGTGAGTGTTTGCATGGGTTCACTCCCAAATTACAACAAGATTGGCAATTGCAAGACTGGTCAAGTGGATGCATGGGGAGGACAACACTGGATTGCCAGAGTGATCAAGGGGGTTTTTTGAAAGTTGAGAAGGTGAAACTGCCCGATCTTTTGGACTAGTTCTGGTTAAACAAGAGTATGAGCCTCAGGAAAGGTGAGGTAGAGTGCTTGAAAAACTGTTCTTGTGTGGCTTATACTAATTCAAATATTAGTGGAGGAGGCAGTGGCTGTTTGATGTGGTTTGGAGATTTAATTGATATCAGAGACTTCATTGAAGAAGGTAGCGGGCAAGATATCTATACCAAGTTGGCAGCTTCTGAACTTGGTAAGTATATTTGATAACCATATATCAATACGCAGATAGCTTATTTTAAGTTGCTCAAAGGTTGTTACTGAATTAGCAATTTGGAATCACTCTTCCTATAATATATAGTTTTAGAGTTTAAATTAATATGGTTACAAATCAGTAAAAGGATTGCACCATGAACACTGTAAATAAAGTCATCCCAATTATAATTATAAACTCGAAGTTAATCAAGAAAGAGGCTCAGATACATTTAATGAAAAATAATTTTTTAAATGAAGTATTAAGATGATCTGTTATTGTTTCTGTTCTAGAATCAATCTGCAATTCAAATAAAAAGAAAAGACTGGTGATTATTCTTGTGGTATCTATCCTTTCTGGACTGCTCATATTGGGCATGGTAATATGGTGCAGCATATGGAAAAAGAGATCAAAGAGAAAAGGTTAGCATACTCATCATCTTTGCTTACATTTCTTAGTGTTTAGCATGTGAGTGACGACAGTTTCCAGGAAGATTATAGTTGAGTACTTTTTCTAGACAAATTATTTACCCTTTTCTAGGTGAAGACTTGGAGTTGCCTCTATTTGATTTCAACACCATTGTTATGGCTACTAACAACTTTTCCCCTGCAAATGTGATCGGAGAGGGAGGCTTTGGTCCAGTTTACAAGGTTAATTGTGTCACATTTGGTCATTCATCTTACAAAGAAAGTATTATGTTTCACTATGCATCTTCCTTGATAAAAAATTAAGTGCATACTGTTTATAAAGAATTCAGGGAAATCTTGCAAACGGACAAGAAATAGCAGTGAAGAGGCTGTCCAGGAATTCAGGACAGGGTCTTGAGGAATTTAAGAATGAAGTTGTTTTGATAGCCAAACTTCAGCATAGGAATCTTGTGAGGCTTTTGGGCTGTTGCATTGAAAGAGAAGAAAGGATGCTAATCTATAAGTATATGTCCAACAAAAGCTTGTATTATTTTATTTTTGGCATTAACCTATTAATTAGTCCTTTATCTGCTCAATCAATATTATTACTTTAACTAAGTTATTTTTTTGTAATTCATTATATGCTTGATTTTAAGGGGATATAACTAAATTTGATATTGAGATTGACAATGGGTTAAAATGGATGTGCAGATCAAGGTCGCAGTGCGTTATTGCCATAGGGAAAGCGCTTTAACATTGTTATAGGTATTGCACGAGGACTTCTCTACCTCCACGAAGATTCAAGATTAAGAATTATTCACAGGAATCTAAAAACAAGCAATATACTGCTAGATGGTGAAATGGACCCAAAAATTTCTTTAGCAAGAACTTTTGAAAGGGACCAAATTTATGCAAAAACGAGAAGAGTTATTGGAACGCAATAAGTTACTATAAACTAAAATCAGAAGTTTGTTATATTTCATTTTTTCAAAAATTCATATTAGATACCATTTATGCAGTGGCTATATGCCTCATGAGTGTGTAGTTCATAGGAAGTTTTCTGTGAAATCTAATGTCTTCAGCTTTGGTGTGCTTTTATTAGAGATAGTGAGTGGTAAAAGGAACCGAGAGTTTTCTCATCTGAATCACAAGCATAACCTTTTTATATATCTCAGCACCTCACATTGATGAACGCAACAGTTCTGTGCTTTGACCAATTTTCTTAAAAAAAAATTCTTAAATTATTAATCTTAGTGTGCACGTGCAATTCCCGCTGATTTAGTCACAATAACGTAAAGACCAAGACTACAAAGAAATTAATTTATTTGGAGTAGTATAATCAAATTGCATTTACAAATGAATTTCAGCAAATCTCATTTTTTTATGCACTTGATTTGTTGTCCTTTGCTTCTTTGGCTATCTCACTGGCCTCATCAATCACTGGTTCAATGAATGAGTCCACCTTTTCCACCATTGCCTCAATCTGCATTTCCATTTCAATAATCCCACATTATTTACTCAATATATAATCAAAATGTTTTATTTTAAAAGCAAATTGAGCTCATATTAAATAAAAAAATTGATTATATACCAAATAAAATAAAGGCTATGAGCTGAAAGTTGAAACCTTATCGATGAATTGCTCAACTAAATGAGCATCCTTAGCTGCTTTGTTGGCCATATTTTCAACATAAACAAAGGTTTTTTGAAGATTTCCACCTTCAGGATGCTCATTGTCAATTTCGTCTGCCAACTTCTCTATCTGCTCCGCTATTTTTTCTATAGCTTCTGTTACATGGTCCGCTGTCTCCACCGCGTTTTCAAAAGTTTAGTTTGATGAGTCAATGTTTAGTTTGCCAAAAATAAAACTTAATATATATATATATATATATCTGTGTGTGTGCGCGTGCGCAAGACTAGTTATTTAGATGAGAAAGTCTACAAAACATGGGAATATGTTGCCACGTGGTATTCCTCCCAATAAGTGCCCTTAATTTTCATTGATATTAGAGTGGGGAGGTGGGGAGTTTCCAAGATAAAGTCAAACTCATCACCTTTGTTATTTGCTATAACTATTGCAGAATTATCATACCTCAATAAACAACTAAAAGAAATTAAGATATAGAATACGGTAGTTGAATGAATATATCTCAATACCATATTGTTAAAGTTCCACACAAATGTTATATTCCTCCCTGTCAACGTTGGTTAACATATACTGTATAATTAGCAGAAGGAAGCTCATGTAAAAGCTAGACCGATTGAGAACTCACACATGGCATTAATTGATTTTATAGTCGGGTGTAAGAGTTATCAGTGGAGTGATTCTACCAAATGCTGTAGTCAAAGGTGGTGGGACTTGAATATAAAGAAGAAGAAATTTTATTGGAGTACCAAACACACAACTTGAGTACACAATAATACATTGAAAATAAACAACACTAGCTGTTTGTTATATATGATTCAACTCTATTTTAAAGCCAGCCAAAATGTTTAATGCTGTTTAATGATAGTTCCTTCATTTCTACCTTTACAATTAGTCGATGAATGTCAAAAAGATAGAAAAGAAAAAAAATTTGTCTTAAGACTCTTTCCCTTTCATTTGATCAAATTAAAATGGGGACCTTTGCTTTCTTCATCCTCTCTCACTCTTTGATTTCTTCTCCTATGTTTATAAAATTCTTCTTTGCATTGGACACCACTAAGGACACCGCGGTCATGACAAATTTATAACGACCCAAACATGAGGGTGCTAACCGAGTCTTTATCCGAACCCGAAATCAACTAAGGGCACCACCGTCCTTTCCTATGTCGATACATAATAATAATAACAATAACAATAATAATGATGGGTTCATATGTAACGACCCAAATCCGTGGATCCGGACCGTTACCCGGGTCCTTACTCGAACCCGAGGTCATCCACGTCAAACCTAACATTCCTAGTGTCAAAACGTGCTTATCCGGATCAAAATCAAACTTTCCCAAGGCTATAAGCAACCCAAGGGTCAAGAGTGAGCTACAAGGAAGAAGGAGAGACAAGACCCCAAAACAGGCTCACTTCGGTCGGTCGAAGTGGAGCTTCGGTCGGCCGAAGTAGGCCTTCCTGAACCGGTCGACCGACACACTACTTCGGTCGACCAAAGCTAAGATACCGAGAGCATAAAAAAAAGGTTTCAGTCGACCGAACCCTATTTCGGTTAACCGAAATGGAGATCCCGAGAGTCCACAAAGAGGTTCGGTCGACCGATGAGCCATTTCGATCGACCGAAGTGGCTTCTTCGAGCCCTGCATCCTGATTTGACCTACTACTTTATAAATGAACTGAAAATGGAAGGGAAGCTAATATGGAAACTTTACATTATAGATAACTTACATCAAAATGGATTTTCAAGCTTCTAATTATATCATCCGTTACATAACCAATGAATTTGATACATTTTACATCATATGCTTTACAAAACAAGTTCAAATTCAACAAAATACGTTCAAAATGCCCTTCAAGTTCTCTCAAGCCTGTGGTGGATTTTCATCCGCCAATTCCTTGCCGTGACCTGAAAAAAATGTAATATATATATTGGGGTGATCAAATTGCTCAGTAGAAGGTACTTAAGACACGCCTCTTGTGTCCCCGTAAATCCTTACAAGGAATAGAACAATAGGAGATAGGAATCATACAATATCGGGGTAATACACAACATAACGACAATTTTCAATATAACCAAATGCAATGCATGCCAATGTCGCTCCCCATTTTCATTCCAAAACCATCACTTTCAAAAGGTTAATATAACCCACCCTTTGGTGACTCCGCAGCGACACGAGAGAAGGATTGGCTAGTGTCCCTGACTCTTGGTATCCCCGCGGCGTCATTATGGGCCCAGTTAGCTCAACCATGCTAGGGCGACTCCCTAGTTCCCTCTAGGTTATATTAACCCTCCAGCCCTTTGGTACCCCCGCGACGACCGGGTTTTCATAAAACCGTTTCATCAAAACTCTTTCCCAAAAGTCCCCATTTTTCCTTTCAAAACGATTCCCTTTATGCAAGCGCAATGTTATGCATATGAATCTCATGCTTTCATTACAATAATACTAAGAGATTTCTCACAACATGATTAAACATATTCTCATACATCATTTATTGCATATTAACAACATAGTAAACTTATAAACTCATATACAAGCATGCTCATCATACAAATTAAATTAATACACATCCTCATACATTCATACATGTTCCATCAAGTCAAAGTAACTATAATCACTATAATTAAGCATGCTAGTACATAAAATCAAGTAGATTAACTCACTAAAGCACAAGACTTCGTGGATTAAGGACCCCTACCTCAAGTTTGATGGAAAACCCTTAAAATGGGTCTCTAAATTCG